TTGTCTTGTTTTCTATCTCTTGGCTTTAAAATCGAAAGTCTTTTATGACAAAAACAAGAAAAATAAAATTGATCATTTGATTTCACCACAAAGAAAATAATCGTCTCTAAGAGTAACATATTTTGAATGAGGAATAACACTTTTCCATTGATTTCTTTCAAGCAATAAAATGTCTGAAAACAAAGTTTTTCTATTATTGCAAAACATAGATTTTACAGTCAATACAGAGCAGAGATTGCCTCAAATTGGAAAGCACAGAAACAACTGTGGCATTGGTTTTGTGTTTCAGTCTGTCTGTTTTTTGGTTGGTTTTAAACAAACAGGACTATATGACACAGCAATAATACTTACTGGGGTTATATAAACCAACGTTCACAGGAGTCATTTTGGCCCATGACACTTACAGAAGTGCCAGGTTGCACTCGCTTGTTATGGCCACCACGGTGCTGTTACAGGGTTTATCAGAACCAAGCAAGGTTCACCTGCTCTCTTCATTGCCTTGGCATATCCCATCCATCGATGAAAAGCAGAGGTTGATTTTGGCCATCTTCTGTGGTTCTAGCACACTGAGCTTGATTTTTTTTTTTTTAAAAATCTCCTTTCTCCTTCTGGACTGGAACTGAGAGAGAGAATTCAATTTGCTTGGCTGATTCTTGGATCATTTGCTGTCTCAGAAAATGCCCTGAACGTTGTTGCAACTTATTTGTGTTGTGAAAGCAGCCACATGCTGTGCCACGTTGTGCTAGGTGCCCTCCATGTAGTTCAGATACCCAGGGAAACGTGATTGGATTTTTCACGCTCAGTGAAGACGGCTGGTGACAATGGTACCATTCAGTGAGTGTCAGCAGCTTTTACACGCGTTGTATGATACATTTCAAGGTAATGAATAAAGATGTCATGAAACCCACCTACCTCTCACCCTATCCCTTTTCTGAGCATTTTGAAGCAAGGCTAATGGCCTAAGGATTGCATTCCCTACCTAAAAACTGTATGTCTTGGGTTTGCTTTTCTGGGTTTGCTTTTTTCCACATGCTACTGTAATAATTACCTTCACAGAGAGCTTTCTGTGGAGTTAATGTTCGTCTAGTTTAATGGTCCCTGGTTATTCTCAGGCCATCAACTTTTCCCAGCTGGTCATCAATTCCAAAGAAATGCCTTGTGCCTCCATTATTATTGCTTAAGTAGGTGACATTTCTGGTATAACCACTGCCCCCCAATGAGATATTACAGCCAAAAGCTTTTTTCTCCTTGCTTTCAATATTGTCAAGGCATTATAAACAGCTGGTATGAGAATGTGGGTGTGAGTTTTGTAGATCTAGACTAAATGAATCTGAGTAAGGTCAGTGGAAATGACTTGCCCTGAGCAGCTACAAGGGATCAGTCCTCATGCATCACTCAGGAATTCGTTGGGCAATACCTGAATGTTTCTGTCTGTTCTTTTTAGCCAAAAGGAACAGTTTTGAAACAAGATCTGGGACAGAGGTATTGGGGGAAGGGTTAATGTTTTTCTTTTCGCAAATGTTGAGATTTCTTATTTCCCTCCCAAAAAAAAAAGTTTCCACAGCTCCACTGATGCTTGCTCTTGAATGTCAACAATTGATGGTTTCTCTTTAAAAGAAAAAAGTTAAGTTGTAGCTCAGTAGGCTAGAAACCAGCAGAGATTGTTAGGTGAAAATGTCTTGCTGTGTGGATATTCAAACCCATGTGAGTTAACAGTGGTGCTGAGCACGTTTCCTTTAACCTCATTAGCACTTCATCTTGTTTTTCCAAGCATGGTGGTGGAGCAGCTAGTTCACCTTAGAGCCTTTTGCTAGGTAATTCATCAAAGTGGCAGATGAAAGCCTAAAGGAAAATACATGTAAATACTGTGTTAGGAACCTTGGCTCACAAAGGCACGAACATTTCTACCCATATCATTAGCTCTGGATTACAATACGTATATAGGAAAGAAAATGGACTTTGTTGTTTGGAGAAGATGGGGATATAAAGCTTATTGGTTATATCATTATGCAAATTTTCTATATTTTAGTTATTTTGCCTTTAATGAAAAATCACATAATCATTCATTAGCTATTCTCACAGAAAATAAGCTCAGACTGCTCTCACGAAACGACATCCTATGTATTCTTTCAGAAACTTTAGAATTAAAAACAGCAGTTATTTAAATCAAACACTTCAAATACTAGAGGCAAAAGCATTCTCAAACAGTGGACTGAGATTGTCTTAAAACCTAGACTATGACTTGTTTTCAGTTTTAGCTAGCTCTGGTTGTAGTAGCATGGATAACTAGTTGCCCTGCGGAGCCACAGAGTTTCTCTCAAGAGGTGTCAAGGCCTGTGTTGCCACGGGCGGTCTAGGTTGCTAGCATTCTCCAAAACCAACGAATGCTCTCTCGAGTCCTTAGTACGTTACAGGATCAGGCCGATGCAGCAATGCCAGCACCAACTGCTCTCAGCATGTTGTGCCTGATTGGGAGCCTCTAGAATTAAATAAGCTTATTAAACACCAGAAACGAACCGGCACCCGAATCTCCAAAGAAAAATAACTTTATGGTTAATGATGAAAATAAAATAAAAACCTGATAGACCTCCACGGAGAAGATCAGTACATCTAAATGTCCTTCCAAGAAACCTAAGACTGGTGAGAAAGCCATAGTTCAGTTTGGTGGCTTTTCTTCCTCTTCTGGAGAGCCATTACAGAAGAAACGACAGTGTGTCCGGTCATCACATTAACAGAAGCAGGCAGTCAGACCACTTCATTCCCCCTACGCAGGGGACATAATCTAGATGTTCCGCAGTCACATATTACTGTTCTTAAATGTTGCAAGGTTTTCTTTCAAAGAGCCCCATTAAAGATGCGCACTGCTTCCCAGTTTACTATATTCTTGTTATGAATTAGCACTTTTGGGACGCTGTTAGATAACCCTTTTTATTTCTCATGTTGAGAAGCAGATACACTTCCATACTCCTCTTATTGATATATACTGGTGGTAATATGATTTATAATGCATTTTCATTTTCCTGAAAGCTTATTTTACTCTCCAAATTCCATTAGGTCAGGCACTCACTGAAGAGACACTTCCTGTTCCATTTTATTGTGTAACTTTTAAACATGAGCTGACAAGCTAGAAAAAGTTCAGAGTATTAACTCACTGCCATGTAAATATATGCACACAGTAATGACCAGCTCTGCCTGTTGAGCCACAGTGAAGGAAAGAGCGCATCACAGAGGTTATGGTACTCATTAGGAAATAGTATGGAAGGACTGGACCCACAAGTTTCTCCCTTAGCAAAATGTCCTAACCTCAGGATTGGACCCACAAGTTTCTCCCTTAGCAAAATGTCCTAACCTCAGGGTTGAAAAGCTGTTCACACTTGCGTTCTCTAGCGCTGGGCTTACGAATGACTATTTCCTGCAAAAACTGGAAGAGGAGTATGTCTGTGTGAAGTATGTCTGAATGTTTGAAGTATGTCTGTCTTTGCAGCCTTTAAAAATGCACTGCAAGAGTTGTGCATTGGTAACCAGTTCTGGACACCTTCTGGGAAGTAAACAGGGTGACAAAATCGACCAGACAGAGTGTGTAATACGAATGAACGATGCACCTACTCGAGGTTATGGAAAAGATGTTGGAAACAAAACGAGCCTTCGAGTCATTGCACACTCTAGTATTCAGAGGATTTTACGAAATCGGAACGAACTCTTAAACATGAGCCATGGAGCCGTATTTATCTTCTGGGGTCCGAGCAGCTACATGAGGAGAGATGGAAAAGGCTTGGTGTATAATAACCTGCAGCTGATGAATCAGATACTGCCTCAGTTAAAAGCATATATGATTTCTCGCCACAAGATGCTTCAATTTGATGACCTTTTTAAACGGGAAACCGGGAAAGACAGGTGAGAAAACTTACGTGGATACATTTAGGGGAAATCATACTGTGGGGAAATAATGTAGTTTATATGCATCACTTTCAGATTGGTTCAGAGGGAACATCATACCCATTAAATGCTCTGCTTCATGAGTTTTAATATGATATGTCACGCCAAGTAACATCACTTGTAACGCAAGTAAAAAAATAGGCACCAAAATAATTTACATGGAGTATTGCCTCATCAACTTATAATACCTAAATCAGGATGTACTGTCTATATAGCCAAAGAGGTAGGGAATGTTTAAATCTCACTTTGGGGTAATATACCTGAAAGTTTTCTACTGATTCTGAAAAATCAGAAGGGATAGGTTATGTTTTCTTACAGAGGAAATGCCACCATTCTGTGAATAGTTGTTTATTGAATTTAAGCATTCTTGGAACATTGCGGCTGTAAAGCTTCTTGTAAAACAAATAAACATTATTCATACATTAGGTGCTTCTGAACAGTTCATCTTACATTTCCAACTGGGAAAATGAAAGTTATTATGATAGTTACATCTTTATGAGACTGTTTATGACTTGCAGGCTGATCTTCAAATCAAATTTTTAATAAGTGACCCACTGTAGGACTTGAGCATTTTCACATATAATGTTTGAAAATTGGCATTTAAGCCAAAGACTTCCTAGAGGGAAATACATTTATTTTTAATGAACTCATATTTTTTTACATACTAAATATGCAGCTGTAAAAAACAGAACAGGGTCCCCACTTAGGTGCAAATGAAGAGGTAGGCTTATTGTGCAGTAACTCATGGTGAAATTTGGTGTCTTCACAAAAATTACCTGTGCATGCCCAAACTAGCAGCTGGGCTTGATCCTCTGTGGAGAGGGAGGACTCAGGAGCACAGACCGTCTCCTGGGCTGCATGAGAAAGTGACACAGTAAACTGTTGCATCCTCTTACCTGATGGGGACTGTAATTTTGCTTTGCATTGGCTGTCTTTGTCTGATGCCATACGCTTTGCTTGCAGTGCTCTGTTCAGGCATAGTGGATCAAAGTAAGTATCTAAACTCTCCGTTGACCTACACTAACGCTAAAAGGCACAGTAACTATTCATTGTCTTACCATTAAAGGTCCTTTCCTCTTCACCTTGAAGTTCATGCTTGTGAATCTCCTCCTTTGCTGGAAGTAGGAGGAAGGATAACAAGGGCAGCGACCCTGCCAGCTCAACTGTTACGTCTTCTCCAGATTTGTTCATCTAGAGCAGAGCAAGTGAGCCTGTTATAATCTATGAGAATTAAGCAGTTAGACTTCTCCAGCAACGTGCAAAGGATCATCTCTATGCCTAGTATTTACAGAGGCATTCAAATACACAGAGCTGCAGCAGAGCTGTGACATAAGTTACCATCAGCCCCAAGGGCCAGGAGCTGCACTCAGCGAAGCGCGTCCTGCTTCTTTTGTCCCTGGATTGCACTTTTAGTGTAGCGCCACTTGCAGTCCCTGGTTTTGAGGAGCAGCTTACTTCCTCTGCTTCAGTCTGGCCAGCTCTGCGGTGAGCAGCCAGGATCCCAGTTCCTTCCTGACACCTGCTTTGCAATTGGTGTTTTCAGGCAAGCTGCTGCTGCTTGCTCTGCATCACCTGTCCAGAGCAGACCTATAGCTGTGCACATGAGAAGAGCATTTTTTTTCTCTGCACACGCACCAGGCCCAGTCTCGTCTCCTGAAATGTTCTCGAGGCGTTTGAGACTTCAGTGGCATTATCACAGGCTATCTCAGGCTCAGTCATGGGCACCCTAAACTCCCCGTGTGAATCGAGGGTGCTTGGATGCCAGCAAAATTCAGCCTCATAAACGGGTCCTGTTGCATTTAGGAAATTGTAGGCTCTGTTGCAGAGCAACTGCTCCTTTAGCGGGCATGTACAGCATACTTGAAGGACTGAAATGATTAAAACAAGAGCTGAAAATAAATGAATAGGCAGCACAGAAAAAGAGAGAGAAAAGAAACATGGGTAGTAAGGAATTTGTAAGGAAAGACAATTTGCATAGCTGTGAGAGCAGGAGCAGGACATTGTACATCCTAGAGTGTTCACTGGGAGGTTTCTGCTGAGCTTTCAACATTAGTGCCGACAAAAAACGAAGGAGGGAGAGAAAAGTCTGATTGCAAGGTTGCAATAACCAAACCATTCATTTCTGTCTTGAAAATGATCAGAAAAAGGTAGCTGGATGTATTGTACCTTACGAGGAAAAAAAAGCTGATTTTAAGATGAAGGGAAACCTTCAGAAAACAGTGCCAGTTAAACAGTATAGTGAATGACAAAGGCTGCAGAGCAATATAGTTGATATTATAAAGTAACTGTACTTGAAAATAACTTTATAATTGAATAAGGGTACATTAAGAAAATATGATTCAGAACCAATATTATAGTAATTAGATAAAGGAAGCATAAATGAAATAACTGCAGGAAGAGTATTTCCATAGAGATTATAAATGAGATTTTGGTGGAGCAGAAAGGCCTTTAATTGTAATTTAGTGTGCACTACAGAATTATCAGCACAGTGTGTTAGTTCATCATATAAAAGAATATCTGATAATTCCCCCTAATAAGCACATGACAGTTCTTCATATTCTTTCATTACAACTGATTAGGTATAAAAACAGTATTCTTTTGTTGGAATCTTGTTCAGATCTCCTATGAAAAGGCAAGACGCTGCAACCCTGTCTCTGTACTGCTGTCCTATAGAGGTGGTATTTAAAAAGAGGCTAGACTGGTACTTTAGTAAGTTTTTAAATCTTTACTCCATTGTTTGGCTTTTAAGTGAGTTTTATGTCAAATCAGTTATTTCCCTATTTATTGAAAGCAGTAAAGGACAAAATAACTGCATGTAAGTGGCATGAAAACTAACCTAGCAGACAGCCTAGAAAGATAGCTTTCCTGACCTGGGCAAAGCCTAGCCACTTTTAGGTCATGGTGTAAATGTAATTGTTCCCTCAGTTTTGGAAGGTAAAGTCTTGGTCACCTAAAACAAGGGCCATGTGCCTGCTCCCGCGTATGCTAGCCTGACTAAATACTTAAATTGCCTAGTGATTCATAGTCTCAAAAACTCTCAAGTGGCAGGAAAGCAAATTTTTTTAAAGCTTTTTCCCTGCTTTTCCTATTCCTAATGATTTTGAGCCTGAAATTATTTACTGTTTCGTACCGATGTAGTGCCTGAAGGCCTCTGCTGAGCTTATGACTCTGCTACTACACTGTGATGAATTGGCGCCCCCCTCCCCGCCCCCCCCAAGCTTAAGTGCAAATTCAGAAAAGAAGCAAGGCTCCATAATTTGGACTAATTAGATGCTTAAATCACAGCACGTTATTCTCAAAACGCCAGCTTAGCCTGAAAAGCTATATGTCAGGAGCAGCAAAGACATATTGGTACTTTTCAGGAGCTCATGTATTTACCAGGTGACCCACAAAGGCCTGGGCGAACTTCTTGGGCGAACTTCTTAGGCTCACTCAGCATCTTTTAGGTCTTTTCAGTTAAAGAATTTCCTTGTTTTTACAACAGCCTATTTCATTGAGGCAAATGGAGACCTCGATACTAGACATTCCTCAATCTGAGCGTGTTTAAAACATCTCCCTCCTACTGGCCCTGGAGGTGACCAGTTTCAAACCAACTTGTTTAGCGTTAGCTCAGGAATCTGCATGGTATGATCTTGCCTGCTCATTTACAGTACTAGTGATGCTGGCACTTGTTTGCAGTGGGTATCCTGGGCTCAGGGCGCTGCTTCCAGAACTGTTTTGCATTCAGCTATCACAGGATAAATTACAACGGCGGCACGGGGAACTGGGGTCAGGACCTTGGATTCCCCAGGTGAATGCTCCGATGTAGAACATCGTGTTCACTCCTGTGCTTTTTTTTTTTGGGGGGGTGGGGGGGAGCTCACCGAATTTCACAGGTGTCAGACATGGGTATACAGGAGTGGGGTTAACGTAGCTTCCATATTAGTATTATCTGCTGCAGCTTGTGCGTCAGACAAGAGCCTGCGTTTAGCTCTCACACTGGCTGAGCTTTAATAAGAGGTGAAAGGTGTGCCAGCCACTATGGTAGGCTGTAGTCAGGCATATGAGGCCATCTTTTTCGAAAGCAGATGGCATTAGTTTTAACTTCTCCTTCCTGAGGGACTTCTCTAAAGGAGTGAGTAGCCATTAGGGAGACCTGCTGCTTCCTCTTTTAATGGTACTCCAAGAGAGAACTAAGAGTGAATTTGCTTTCTCTAGAGCAAGCATCTGATTCCAGAAGAGGACTGAGGGCGGTGACTCCATTTCTAATAGAGATCTGAGAGGGTGTCCTGTCATCTGCCACTGCACCTTTAAGACGCTCCTCACTGGCACTTCCTTGGCCATCCCCTTCCAAGACAACTACCTCTCCCAAGGCATACAGGGAGGGTGGGCGCTTAAACCAGGACTGGGAATTTCAGTGCATGTGCCAGGCAACCAATGACCATTACAACAGCTACTGCTTATACGCTAAACAGCAATGTAAAGCAAATGCTCAGAAGCATTACTGTTCCCGTTTTGCAGCTAAGGACCTGTGAGATTATAGCAAGATTTAAGCCTGGATTGTAAATCTCTCATATTTGTGAGCAGTTACTTACCTAAAGGCACCTACTGATTTCTGCATAAACAAGGCTGAGATCAGTTGCGCTTCTTTTAAAGATGTGTCCTAGCCTGCAGAGTAGGCCAGGAAAGAAGCTGCTTTAGAGGGCTTCCTAGGGTCATCCTCACACATTTCTCCCCTACAGTCAGGGCTCCCCCGGGCAGGAATGGGACACAGGGCTTGGGAGGAAGGTTTCCCAGGTTGGCTCAGAGACAGGCACAGCAGCAGCTCTCAAAGGAGGAGTTTCCTACCAGCAGTCACAGTGAGCGTCTGGGCGCACGGAGGCCTGAACGGCTGGGAGCATCCAGAAACCAAACCATGGAAGGGGAGGATGGGACTAAACTGAGCACTTGAGGCCAGATCTTGTTCCAGAAAATGACTTCTTCTGTACGGGGTGGAGGTAGCATGTTAAATAGCCCTCTTCATCCCCTGTGATGCGTTTTCCGGAATATTTAATGTGCAAGTTCCATTAAGTGATTATAGATGTGTGGTATTTTCCCAGCACGTTACTATCAGAAGAATATAAATATAGTACATGAAGTTTCAGTCACTTAAGGTAAACTTACCAAAAGGTCAGCTAAATATTAACTAACTTTGCTGTGCGCAAAATTAATTGCAGCAAGGGTGGTTTCTGCATAGATTAGTCCACTGACAGAAGACACGAGTAAAATCATTAAAAGATGAATGAGCCAATGTAGTCTTCATTGGCCAATTTTCATAACCTTTCACAAGAATGAAAAAATGCCCAGAAACTGCTTCAGATATCTCAAGAATTATTTGTCAGGCTAGAAACTTAATTATGTTTTTGCTTTCAGGAAGATATCCAACACTTGGCTTAGCACGGGCTGGTTCACAATGACTATCGCATTAGAGCTCTGTGACAGGATAAATGTTTATGGCATGGTGCCACCGGATTTCTGCAGGTAGGATTTATTTCAGAACCATTATTAACCAGCAAGGTTGAACGTTATAGATAGGTATCTGAATCTTTAATTTTTTTTCTATGAAATATGTCTTCAGTCCTCTTAAAGCAATTAATTAACATGTCCCAGGACCTGATTCTGAAAACAATAAATACCATTTAATTATGTTATATAAAAGTTTTGTTTGTAGTGTGGGAGAATTAATTCATATTGTTGGTTTCTTTTAGCTTCTGAATATTTATCACCTGAATATAATGCACTAATTGGCACAAAATTAATCTGAAAAAAGGAGTAACGGATACTGGAAAATACTACTTTTAATTTGTTTTTAAAGGTTCAGCCTGCCCCTTAATGGAGGAATGGAGTTCTCATAGTGACTATTTTCTGAATTGAACTTTTTATGTAACCAAAATGAAGACTGTTGTATCTCTGTCACATAAATCCCAGTCTTCCAGCAGAATGGCTTCCTGAATAATCCCCACAAAAAATATAATTTGCTCCTACTGACTAGATAGAGAGTCAGTCCTGTGATCACCCATTCTGGTCATGCAAAATGTGGGTTACAAATGACACAAGCAGCACACACGTTCCGTCCGTGGAAGCTAAGCGACTGGGTCACACTATAATGGTTTGCACAGATTTTACAGCTACGTTATGCCTCTGGCCATATTCAGGACTCAGGCCTCAGGTGCTGGTTAATGTTTCAGTATGGGTCAGTAACAGGAAACCTCCTATGTGATAGGAAACCAGATTCCTGTTACTGGACCAAAAATCATGTTAGCTACATGATGCAAAGCAGCCATCCAGTATAAAATTAATAAAAATTTTTTTGCATCAGCAGTCCTTATGCTGAGTTAAGTGTCATCTGTCCTTCTATCACTAGGCCTAACTCTCTGGTCTTTCAGAGAAATGTGGCCATGTGCCCACCTCTCATCCTGATCCCACTTGTGTTGTTATGTGATCAAGCAATACCCAGAGCTGGTATTGACAGTCATGGGAAGATGATCAGTGTGACATTTCATTGTCCGCTCCTGAACCCTTTCTCGCTAGGAGGTACTTTCTTGAATTTTCTCTTGCAAATTTACTGACCTCACTGAAGTCTAGTTCATTAGTGAGATGCCTTTTAGGGGCAAGGGGAGCAAGGCTGCAATGACAGGTTAGTTCATCTGTCATAGAAATAGGACTCGTTTGATTTTCTCCTTTTGAGTACTGACAAGGATCACTCAGGCATCTGCATTTGTCTTGGGCAAAAAGAAGTAGAAATCCCTGAAGAAATTACAATATCAAATGTCAATCCTACATTCCACTTTGTGAAAATTTCTAAAAATTATAACAAAGCACTGATGAAAAATGCAGTGACATACTGCCAGATTTCAACATGAATTCTCCAAGGAAAATAACAAACTAGATCAGATAGTTCAGGCAACGTAAATACCTTCCACAGCACAGCACTTCAGTTCCCCTGTTGTTTCATTTGGCCAAGACACTTGTCTCCAGTTCCTGTTCTGAAATTGTTATGCCCCTGGCATCACTACAGTGACTCTGTCTTACTCCAGAAGAGGCTGTATTCCAGTGGCACATGAAGGTAATTCTTAAATGAACGGATGAACTAAAAATGCAGGAAGATTGCAAGTCAGCATAAAACAAGGCACAATCTTTACTTTCCAAGCAAGGGTCCCTACTTGTTAAAGTCAGATCGGCTTAGGTAGGTATACTTATTTAAAAAAAAAAAACACACACAAAACAAAGAACAAAACTGAGAGGCTAAGATTGTCCCTGAGATTGTATGAAAAGCTTTCATAGAATTAATACACTGTAATCAAATTAAAATAATATTAAATCATAACACAAGACAGACTGTAATCAATCCTACTGTTGAGAAATACAGCTAATGTTTATAGCCAGTATAGCAAATCATAACATAAAAGTTCACTTATCTGGTCCTAAAAAAGGAAAAACCTGTTTCTTAAAAACAAAAGGGTATGAAATGTCTTTACCTTAGTTTTATTCCTCAACTGACAAAGAGGAAAACTGTAGTGGCCAAGCCTGGCAGAAGCCATCCATGAAGATCTGTAGAAAGACTGTGTTGCCATAAATGGAAATAATTAACCCGCCCAGTTTGTTCTTTATCTGCTCACTAAGAGGTTAAAGAAGAGTGCTTCCTTTCAAAGAAATAAGACAACAAAATAGAATAGCATAAGTCAAGAAATACTCTGTAAATGGTTGTAGTTTAAGCCACACTTCCCTGGTTTTCATTCAGCTGAAATACAATTTACCATGAGAGGAAAAACAAAACAAAACAAAACTTAACTATATCTCCACTTTTAATTGTGTGTGAGATGATAAAGAGCCAAGGATATTTTATTTGCTGGGCAACTAAAGAATCTAAGATTAAAAAAAAAAAAAAAAACACCCTAATATTCTTATTTCTATTCAGGGTCAATGTCACTAACTTTACAACTTCAGCAGCTACCCTTTTTTTTTTTTTTTAAAGTATTAATTTGTGGAGTAAGTAATGAGTGTGGGTGATCACCGTCATGGAACTAAATTAGTATCACATTGGTAACATGAAGGACATCTCAAAGGTATCATGAATATCATACTGTTGATTCTGCTACAAATTATTAGCTTAAGATCATTAACCAAATTGCTTCCTACCCAGTAGGAAACAGTCCAGCTAAAGCAATCTGCATTATAGACTAGAACGATTTGTCACTATTAATTGCAACAACGTGTTTTAGATTCATTTCTATTTACTTTCACTGGACATTGATTTTATAGCTGAGCTGGAATTGGTGACCTGACTCTTGTGAACTTCTGAGCGTGCTGCAGCAAAGCTGTATGTAATATGCAATCTCTTTACTTGGCTACACACTTATGCTGGACTGTATTAGGGGGTTAATGGCTTTGATATTGCGCTCATGCTGTTAAATACAACTGACTTGCACATTCTAGAAATAAGATGAAAGCCTATGCCAGCATGCACACTGTAAAGAAAGATTTTTTGTTTTTTTGGAGAGCGTGCGCACCTCTGGCTCTTTTGTCACAAGAAACTCGAGGCAGAAAAGTCATCTTGCTGTGTTATTTTCGGTGTGCAGGGATCCAATCGTAGCCTTTGCTGCAGCAAGCTAGTGCCCCAGACAGGAAGCGGTTCCCTCTTGGAGCGCCCTTAGCAGCCTGCGCCATGCACAGGCAAGGACTCCTGAACTGGGACAGCAAAGATTTTTCTTTCTCCCCCACTTCAGTAGCCACCCAGCACAGACAGTACTGCAGTTCCTAAATGAGCTACAGGGCTGCCACTTTGCTGCGTGGCTGCTCAGCAGCGTCTGTGGAAAGGACATGGATAAGCCTTAATACAGTTTGGAATGACACCAGCCCCTGTCTAGCTGAATATCGCCTTCGGTATCTCCAGGTTCTCACCCATGCAAGGAAAATTCAAGGTGCTAGTGAGAAGAGCCCTCTTTTCTCCCCATTCTCTTCATGAGCCTTCTGGAGCTCATAGAAGCTTAAAGCTTATTCTGAGCCTTATTTTAACTGATATGCCTATGGAGCCAGATCATTTTCCTATGGGTTTAGGGATGTTGGGGGGGGCGGGCCTTAAATGGGAGGTGTTCATAAGACTTTTAAACTTCAGCTGTATGGCAGATAGTCATGCCCTTTAGTGCTTACACCCACATCTCACCTCATTATCTAGTAACTGCTGCATTGTTTGGCTTTGTGTAGCCAGAACAAAAATGTACAAAGAGCTCAGCAAAACTGGGCTTGAAAGAAGGTCAGGAAAATGCGATACTGGGAACAGAAGGCAAAAAATTATCCCGAAATCTTCATAGACCCGGTGTAGCGCCTTGTCCATCACTCAACATGATAATGACATTTTATTCACCCTTCAAAATATGAATCCTCTTACAAAGTAAGTGAGTACATATAGTTTTGTGGGCTGATTTATAATGGCTTTTAGTTTGTAAAGGAAGAGGTTGACCAGAATGTGATATGGGATGGCCTTATTCTTCTGCTTTGTTTCTTTTGAGGCAAACACTGTTTACTGTATTTTCAGCTTTTAGTGTGGGTGGATACCATCTGTGGGAAAATGTGCACTGAAGTGGCAAAGAGAAGATGATTGACACTGGGTGCAAGCACTTGTGCTGCTGCTGCTGCTGGCAGGCTATTAGGCAGGAAGTATAGTATATTTTACAAAGGACTTTCCCTAGATTCCTCCCAGCTGTGATATTAATATGCATGCAAAGTCTGACAAAATACTGATTAATGTCCAGTATCAGTCAGTGATAAAACAGCATCTGTTTTAATGTTAATGAATGAGGTGGCAAGCAATTTCCTTATAGAAATTACTCATGCATTTCATTTGCTGGTGACACAAGCTAATTGCAGAGTTAGAAGATAACACAGTACAGCTAAATTGGGTTATGGTGTAGTTACTCAAGCCAGAGTTCAAATCCAAACCTTGCTTGCATGAAATGGGGAATCCAGAATTCCCATGAAAGGAGAAAGACTTCAGACAATTCTTTCTTGATACCTAACTGCCTTTCAGAGTTCCTAAATCCAAAACGTAGGCTTTGTCTGTTTAGCCTCAAAACCTCAGTTAGCTACTGAGTAATCTCGGAAAGGCCTAAAGTCACCAGCATCTTGATTTATATGTTAAAATTCAACCCCAGTTCAGCCAGTGAACCAGCATACGAGCCTTGACAGTACCCATCAGTCTGAGCCCAAACCCAAGAGGATGCCCGGACGGTGCTCCTCTTGCATCTCTTGCCGGCCAGGCCCAATGCAGCAGGAGTTTCTGGAACATTTCTATCAGGACAGTGCACAAAATACAGTGACCCATTATAGCCTTGAGCTAAGGGCATCCACTTGGGATACTCTGGTTTTAGCCTTCAGTACATTTAATGTAACATGGAGTTCCTGTCTTCAAGAGGGAAATCCACTGGTAAAAATCGATTGTAGAATATTAATAGCATAACAGATAAAGCCCCCAAGGGGAAGTACAAGCTTCAAAATTGTGCTTCAAAGAGGCAAGAGGAAGGGTATAACCCTAGCTAAATACTAAGTTATCAGAGAGAAGGAGAAGAAAAAAGGACCACTGTCAAGCCTTCTCTCTTTCTCCTTCCTTCCCTCTGATCCACACACACACACGCACAGACCACCCCCCCTACACCTCTATCCTTTGGATTTTGTGCGGGAAAAAAAATGACTGCAGTTCCTACAGATCCTTAGAGGGAAATCTGATTCCGATCAAAGTAATCGCCATGATCTGCTCTTAACTCCAACATACAGCAAAGGGACAAGGAAAGGACACACCACAACCCACGTTCTGCTTTGTGCTCTTCCTGTTCTGCAAGCCAAGCAGAGGTTAGTTCTGCAAACCTACCTCAGGCTTACTGTATTGTCTATAGTCACAGTTTGCAACTACTACTTAAAAAAAAAAAAAGGGGGGGGAAAATTCTAACCAAATCTGCCAGGAGGTATCAGGGCCAGCAATTTTATCGGCTCACTTTGCAGTACTGGGCCCTGAGCAGTTAACGCATTTCCACTGTGACTGCATTTACTCAAAGTCTTTTGGAGATATGATTTCAAGTTTACTAATTTTTATTTTAAAGCAGTGAATTGCCACTGAGCTACACAGATTTACACTTGAGAACACAAGAGTAAGATCCAGCTTCAGTACAGAAAGGAAGAGCAATCCAAATGAAAGGCAGATGCCTATTTGTTTAGTAGTTTTTAAGAAAAAAATAAATCACATCATTAAAAATGTATCCTATGACATTTATAGTAACCATATAAGCAATTCATTGAGATGATAATAATAAAAGGTCCAATGTTTCAAAAAGCGTGTGAAAATTTAACTGACGACTGAGATCTAAGAGTCTGCATTCAGTGGTAGCCAAAAAAATATATATATATTGAATACATATATGAAAGCATATTTTTCAAATTAAAAAAAATATCCTTTATATAGATAAGGTATTAATGGATTTCTTTTTTTTTCTCTTAGGTATTTCAGTGAAAATATATACTCGAAATTTAGGATCCATCTTATTTTAGAAATGCAGTTTTATTGTTAGGCTGATGTTGCAAGACTGATCACACAGTGATGTTACTAGGAAGCTAAATTAAAATGTTAATCTCAGGTACAAATGGAAAGCAGCAGCAGTATCATACATTACCATTGCGTACATAACATGGATACTGATAAAATAAGAAAAATTAGAGAATTGTGTAGGTCACACAATTATATAATAAAAATAATGATCAGGGCAGAATACTGACAGACTGTGGATGCATTCAATTGAAAATAAGCTTAAATATTAGCTCACCAAAACAAAAATAATAAACTCAGTATTAGAGTGGACAACCTGAACTCTGCATTAGATTTTTTGCTCTGTACTGGGGTCCTGTCCAGCTCAGGTTTTAACACAGAGCAATTCCAAGGCTTCACTAAGTGGTAGTATTTGTATTAACTTCTGGTTATCCTTTTTTACACCCAAAATAGTTCATTGGTAGTAACTGTAGAGATCTGGCATACAAGTTTTACACTTACTGTGCTGTAGCTTGAAAAATGTCAGTACAATTGGGTTGTTCTGGCTGGACAGTTATATCTCTTTCAATGTTTGACAGAGACAGTTGTTTTGTGTATGCATTCTTGTCAGAACAATACTTGTGCCCAAAGTAAAAACACAAAGGGTACAGTTTAGTATAGAGAATAAATAAGGCAAAAGGAGAATGATCTGCTCTGGTTTATGTTACAAGCATAATACAAATGCACCTTTTGAAGCACGTAACATCAAAATATTGAGGTTAAAACTGTTAAAATGATCTTTGTCCTAAGTACCTAACTGCTCTGAGATGTGCTAACGAAGGTTTGCACTCACACATCCTTATGTACCACGCTGGTAACGTTCACCTGAGCTGAAGTGACACAGTAGCCTCCTCCCCTCTCTTTCCCCTTCCTTTCTTCCCTCAGTTCAGTAAATGCCACTGCAAGGCTTTTTTACACGTCACAATGTAGATGTGAATCTCTTTTAAGCAGTGTGCTTCAAATTTCAGGATAGTAATATAGCCCTGTGGCATTCTCCCTTATTTTTGAGCTACTGCTGTTCTTTCTTTCTTTAACAGGGAGGAGGGGAATTAAAAGAAAACAACAGAAAGAGCAAATTAAAAACCTTTGTCCCATTCTGATGTATTAAATATGCAAGAAAAATACAGATATCTAGAAATTTGGTTTAACTAGGAGAAAAAGCTCAGCCTATTAAAGATGGCATCTTTTGAATCAGTAAAAAGGAACATCTGGGGCTTCCATCTATTTTCTTTCTTCCACAGGGATCCTAATCATCTTTCAGTACCTTATCATTATTATGAACCTCTGGGACCTGATGAATGCACAATGTACATATCACACGAGCGGGGCCGAAAGGGCAGCCATCACCGTTTCATCACAGAGAAACGAGTGTTTGAGAACTGGGCACGGACATTCAATATTCACTTTTTTCAACCAGACTGGAAACCAGAACCACTTACTGTAAATCACCCTGAGATTAAACCAGTGGTCTGAGGGATGAACACAGAAGACTGCAATCACAATCACCTACTGTATCAGCTTTCAGGGTGTTGGACATTCTGGGACAGCAAGGCAACCTAGACAAGAAGGTAACAGGATTTGCAGATGAGAACTGCGACAACAGTCAGGAAGTTAGGATGGAGTATATCAAGAGTACTTTGTGCTGAACTGTACATAAAACTAATATATAGCCTTTTCTGGCCATCTGACTTCCTGTATGTGTTTGTGATTTGTGAAAAGCAACTTGAGTATCATTAATGGGATGGTTAATTCATCATGGTTTTTTAAAGTACAATGCCACTGAATTTTCATAGTGAAAACTTACAGTACTTACTTATTTAATGGAGGTTTTTATGCAACCTAGGCCAGTATTTTTCTAATTCACAATTATGTGGTTGTTTACCTTTCATAATCCTTCAAATTCAAAATTAATATTGCTGATGGTTTGAAAGGCCTAGCTTTTTATTTATAAATATTGTTTGGGAAAAAAAATATTCTATATAGCATGTAATTAATATTTGATCTGGAAATTCAAAATTTTTGGGCTCCATTCCAGCCTGAAGCCTTTTACAGCAAGAACGGTCCTCTGTGCAAACCTAGCTAACTCTACAGTTTGACACCTCATTTTAATATGACAATGGTAGACGAAATTCCTTTTGATATGAATGTGCATTTGCTGCTGTGCTATCAAATTGCTGTTTTTTAATTAGAGGTGGAGGGACAGAGGGCAACGCTTATCTGAAAAAAAATCACTGTCTACAGCAAAATGTTTGCAATGAAGAAGAGACCAACTGGGGTCAGAGGATTGCATTCAGTTTTGCCTCTCGTGGTCCTACAAGAGATTGAAGTAGCAACTGTCTTCCTGAAGTAACAAACTACAAACCAGAAAACAATGGCTTGCAATGACATGAACAGATTTTTGAAACCAAGAAGCTACACTACCAGGTACTCTAATCCTGACCATACTAGCCAAAAATAGGAATCACATAGTCTACAGCACTGCACCTTCAAAAATCTCTGCCTTCCACTTCTCCGAGATCATTTGTTGATCTCCTCATAGATCCTGGACTGCACTGAAGCTAGGATATGAAACAAATTCTGTGAGTGAAAGATTGCTTCCTTAAAAACAATGAAGTTAGCACCACTTGGCGGTTTCTTCATGAAGTACTTGAACATGGCTAGTCCCTGCAAATGAAGGTGGTGAATAATACTAGCTCTGTATATGGAACCTCACAGTGTGTCTTACTGGGTTATATTTGGCTTGTGAATAAAGAGGATTTCAATTACAGCATTTTTCCTTTTGCTTCACAAATATTAAAACTCAAATAATTTCTTCAAAGTAATCACTAGGAATAATTACTGCATGGAGCCTTGTACTTCAGGTGATGAAACTCTCTCATTAGACAGCTACTAAAGCAATGTATTACCTTAAAATGTCTAAACCCAAGAAGCTCAAACTCAGATGCAGTACATGGAACTGGGACCAAACTTGCTATCATTTAAACCCATTTATGACCCAGTATCTTCCTCTTGCCAAAACCTGACAGCAATAGCTGCAACTGCCCTCAAGATGCCCCAGTTCTTTGGGGACCAAGTGCAGCAAACTGCTCCGTCAGAGGTAAAACACCCGCTTACCCCCATAATCCTATGGACCGAAACAGCCAGCCTCAGAGAGCCATTCTCCTTGCTGCAGCTGTCTCCACTATCAAAGAGCAAGAAACTATAGCCTATTTTGCCTTAAAACTTGCCTTTCGGTGTTCTTCCCGATAAACATCATTCAGCATACAAACAAAACGCAAAGCACTACTATTGCCAATTACCCGTAAACAGCCTCATCAGCTGATGTTTAACTCCCTCTTTCAGTGATTGTGCTGTATTCCTTCCATTTGATTTCACAAAATTGTATAAAGAACAGAATGGATTTTGAACTAACGGTGATGTGAACATCCCTTTCAGCGTGGGTACTGGGGGCATATATTCTGCCTATATTGCTCAAATTGACAAAACTTTTGTCAAACTGATTTACAGATCATTTCTAATGTGACTGCAAAGATTAGTACTGATCACAGTAGCTCCTCTGACACCATAATCCTTTTGTTATTTTATTAGTGGTATAATAATAAAAAGATTTTGTCATGATAAAATGTAGAGCACTTAGTTTTCCTATTAATCCATGGCTGCAGGATGTGTACGCTAAGTGTTGAAATTGTTCAGTTGTTGTTAAAAATAGACCATCTTAAAATAGATTGTAGTTACCTATTTTTAGTATTCAGTAGGAACATGGGGACTTGCCACACTGCATTGAGCTCCACATGCATCTGTTTCCTGTCTGCAGGATTGGTCAATATAAAACAGATCAGATGAAGCATTAAGAACCTGAAGAAGACACATGAGATAAACTGATATAGATCCTAATATCTAACAGTGGGTAGAACTCTGGATTGTAAAGGGTTAATGTAACAGCTGTGTTCTTGTTACCCTTATACACGTCCAGTCTTTTAAACAGCACAACAAACTCAAAACTCAGTTTCGTCCCATCAACTTCCTACGACGTTTCAGCACGTCCCCCCAGTTTAATTAGAAAATGTGTGAAGGAGTATTTTCTAAGGGTGAGTCATGCCTACATCTATAAAATCTGCTGCACAATGTGGTGAATCCAAAAACGCAGCAAGTTTTAAACAGGGATTGAACACGCAGATTTAAATACCAATAACTGTCTCCTCTCTCCAGTCCAAAAAGAACAAGTTTGGTACCAGAGTGCAAAAGAAATGTAAATAATTTTTAAATACTGTAATTTTAACTTACAAATTACTAATGTATTTTTATAAAGGCACAGTTTTGAACTACAGTATATCCTGTTACATTTCAGTCTGAAGTAAGGTTTTATGGCCTAGTTATAAAACGTATGGATTTACGATAGAAAACACTGTCAGACCAAAGATCTGTAGTGCTAGTAGGCACGACCGCCATTATCTGGTTTATGCTGTCATCTTACACTTGTCACTATAATTTGATCGATTCATGATCTTCAGTGTGCCTCACCTCACATATTAAAAACTGTTGCAAAGCAATGTTTACAGACATCAGCAATTTTAAGATCTATGTTATTTTAGTCCTGAACTTCCATCATACCTTAACCTTTTATGCCTGGCTTCATCAGAGCGGCTATTTTTCACCTTGAAGAACCACAGCTCTTTTGCCATGACATGGCCAACTGGAATTGACGAAGACAAAAAAATATCTCTGTAACTAAGAATGGAAAAATACCGCCTTTGGTTTCTGCTTTTCTGGCACAACGATAACAAGATGCCCAGCTAACAGCATCATGATATAAAATAGTAATATGATGCGCTTTGAGAAAACCGTCCATTCAAAGTCTTAAAAGCTTCAGAAAGACAAGTTAATGTTTATTTCCAGCTGGACAGAGAAACCGAGAAAGGGAGAAGTTATATAACTTACTAAGACCATGTTACAACTTTAGCACCAGACTTTAGAACAGAATTCAAGTTCCCTGACAACTACTCCTGGCTCTAGCCAGCAGTGTCAGGAACTATGACTGATTTGAAAAACACCACCACACAAAGGCAATTTCATTT